CGGCGGCATATTACTCGTGTCGCTCAGAGAAAAAATAACGCCGACACCCACCAAGACTGCGAAGGAGGCTAGTTTAAAAGGTTGTCAGAGTCAAAGTGTAAATTGTTAAAACATCACTGTCTAAGTGCTATTTGAAAGACAAACCCACTGTATTTGCTGTTGTTGATAACAGAGATTCACTTTGGTAAGGCAAAGTTTGAATCGTGTACTTGCTGTTTGCTACAGAGATCTTTTTGATTGTCATATGACATTTACTCCGAACTTTCTGGAAGAATACTGCAAACAATGAACATTTTAACTTCAACACTTGCAGCTTTAACTAAATGGTGAATTGTTTTAAGGGTTTTAAAAACATTTCATGCTAATATGCTATCACATTACAAAACTATACTTATCTTCACTCACTCCCTTTTTGTTGACAGAATTTTGTACCCTTATTATTTCTGTTTTATAGCTACAGACTGAGGTTATATTTGAAATGCTTGCAAACATTTATCACAGGCAGCAGTAACTTATAGATCAGTGTCATTCTATTGTGTCAACTATCCAAAGATATTAGTTTGTTGACATGATATGTTATGGATCCTGGAGCATTATGAACACTGAGACTGTTGTATTACCTTCACTGATCCCTGCATGTTATTAGCAGTGTATACCTGATCAATTCTTATGCGCTGCAGAAACTTGAGAAAGGGTTCACAATATAGTATATTTTGAAGGTCTAGATCTCAGTGCACATTGCTCCTTATGCGTTGTAAAATGACAATTTAGATATAACTGGCAGGCCCCAGTATTGTGTCCTTGACAAAAGCACTCTACACCTACTTCTACACTCCACTCAGGTGATAAAGAGTACCTACCTTCAGGTACCTAGTTACCTAGTACTCATCAGTTAACGTTGGAACATAAAACCGGAGGTCCTGTATGTGAGTAGAGTCATACCTCAAGCACGCTAAAGATTCCACGCACCACACTTATGGAAAAGAGCAGGAGTCCTCAGTGAGTCCTTCCTGGTGTGAGTGGTTTAAACCTTACAGGCTAGTCTCATGGTTGACATCTTGAAAAGGTGATAGTCACCTGTTATGCCAATCCTTTCACAAATGTGATAGATCTCAATAAATGAATAGACCCTTGTTGTTACTGCAGATGACTGAGTACAAGCGCCACGAGAACGTGGAGGACGACATTCCGGCCAGCAACGCGAGCTCCCAGGGTGGCACCCCCATGGAGGATGTTCCACCTGTAAATAGCACAATTATTCCATTTTACTGAATTTGCCACTCGCAATGAGCACGTTGGCAGAACGTACAGCACCTACACGAAACCCATAATGTATTGTGCATAGCACTTCGGCAGAACATCTTGTATAGGGTCGTATTCGCTATAAGGTTAACATCCCATCTGTAGTTCCTATATGTTATGTCAGAAAATATATCAGTGTCTGCTGCAAAAGACAAGATTCTGATGCAACGGTGACCAAAAATCCAACGAAAACTGCAAAAAAACGGGGGTTTTGCACAGATGAAGTTCGTTCTGCTGATGTGCTTTTGCAATAGACATCATTTTGATTGTCGTATGACATGCTGGAAGAATGCTGCAGATATTTTTTTGCAAAGAATTTTAAACTTCAACACTTGCCGTTGTACAGGCTTTAACAAAATAGTGAATTGTTGACAGTAAATAATAAAGTTGTAAGAATATAGGTCCAACGTTTCGTAGACTGAAAATGGCAGCAAATTTGTTGGCGTCCTATTCGCAGGTTAAGCTGAGAACAAAGACGCTGTTCTTGGGGAAGTGGGGCCAGTGGACGTCCTTAGAACGGATCCTCATCATCCTGAGCTGCCTTCTGGGGTTAACCTGTATCATACTGGGGGCGTTGTATGGAGCAGCAGTCGGTAGGAAAGGTAGGTACACTTTGAGCAAGTTGTTACATTATGGTTAATGATGGTACATTGGAAAGATTATCATGAAAGTTCATCTGCGTTGGAGTTACATGTTTAAAGTTAAAACTTTTGTTCCAACACAAAGAAATTCTCTCACCTAGAGCTTTCGACCAGTCACTCTGGTCTTCCTCAGTAGATTTGGACATTGGAAATATTGTTTGGCTCCAAAACAAGATTACTTTACATTTATTCAGAGAAGTATGTAATTGAAATCATGGTAATCAGCACAAACAAAGTTTGGTGTAACTGTTACAAATCAAATTAAATCTTCTTGAATTGATGAATAATGCTAAAGTACAAGACAGAATTTCAGTAGAATGTTCTGGTAATAATAATTGACAATTTCCAAAGTGGCTCAAGATTCCTCTTACTTTCCACATGCCTTTTTACATTTTCTTCTGTCATACCCTATTATCTATACTTGGAGAGCCAAACCACATAAAGGGCTCAGCCTGTCAGTACCCTTAATTGTGTATGGAATTTTACAAGTGGTGTTATGTTATTAAGTGCTTAGGTTCCTGCTGAGCGAATGCATATTATTTTCTTGATAAACAAGTGACTTCCAATTTGTCCACTTCAGTTGCTGTTACATAGAAGACCACTTTGTTTTAAGCTCCCTGTAGGGTTTTGCAAGATTGTTGCCCTTATTTTTCTCACATATTTAAAGCTGTTTGCTCATTATATTGTGTTGAAACAATATGAGCTTATGTTCTACACGTCCACCACTGATGAACACCTGCTGTGCATGGCTACAACTGACATGCTGCATCTATTTCCATGTGCTACTTGACAATTCTATTTATACTGTACCAGCAGGAAGCTACAGTTGTTTCTGGATAACAAGCTTCTATTTAGTAAATTCTCCATGAGAATTAAAACATGTAGTAAAACTTTATCATTCCAAACTTAACGTACTACTTGAGTATAAGTTGGAAAGAATGAAGCATACATGGTATATGTAATTACACACTGTTCAGTGTGTGAACTGGATCTGGTGTGGTTTTGACCTGGTCATTTCATCCTTCTCAGCTGGGTTCCATAAAAGTAAATCAAGTCGTTCCACGTATGTAGGGGTCATTTCTCCAGGCTTATATTCACATAGTGTTTCATTTAAAGGTCAAATATCATAACTTTGACTTCTACACCGCAGGCTAACAAAATCTATCCTATCATTTTGTACTAGAGTAAAACGGAATAATGTAAAACAGTACTTACTACCAGTATGTCATAAATTTTCTCACAACAGCTGCTGATGTTTTGTCACTGATGGTGCATTTTCTCACTAGATTTTCTGTTTTATTTTATAATCTGTATTTGTCACAATAAAATATTTCTAGATTTTCTGTTTTATTTTATTGTACCAGTAAATTTTACATAAACACTAGAATAAGTGTTTTTCTCTTTGCCAAAAAGCTTTGGGAAAAGCTCTTAGCTTGTCATTCAACCTGTTTCTCTACTCCAGCAAGCCACTTACCATCTCTCATATACACATATATTGCACACTTAATGTAAAGGACAGTCTTTACTTTGACCTGAAAACCTTTCAGACTGGATTAAATCTACACAGAGGACACCAGCTGTTCCGAAAGGTCCTTGGAGATTTCCAAAACAAACACGAAATACGATATGTACTAAGCAAATATACTGTACCTGTTGCATTAAACAAGGTGCAATATAATTACATTTCAAAGAGACCGCAGTCTTTTAGAGGGGGTTTTAAGGGATTTTAAGCTTACACATGCTTGAGGGCCTGCAAGCCCTTTTTCGTAAGGCGTAATCAGGCCGTTTTAGACTTCGTAATTCGTAGGCAGCCTCCACAAAAATCAACGTAATTCGTAATTGGACATTACATGTAGCCGCAAATCGTAAAGTTGTAATCAGCTCTGAGACTTTAACATAATTCGTAATAGGCGGCGAAAAATTTGCGTAATTCGTAATCACTACCCCCCTTGCACTAGTTGCAGGCCCTCATGCTTGACGATTTTGTTTCTTCTGTGTGGTCCTGTTCATTACAGGATATCTTTCTCCTAATACTTCTGTTCAAAAATAAATGACTATCCATTTAACTTTGAATGTGAAAGTGTCAGGCAAAGTTTGCCTGTAAACCCAGACAAAACATGTCCTAGTAGTGCCAATTTAATTGGCCTTGGCATTGGAAGGCCTAGGGAACAAGAATTCCGAGACTTCATACCTCCATGAAATATGGGCTTGATATGTAAATGTAAATCTCCGCATTAACATATGTGGACTCCAGGAAGAATAGTATGGAGTTGACTTCCATACTAATGGAGATCTAAATAAACAAACAAACAAACAAACAAACATGATATAGGCATCGTGATGTATGTTAACTTTTGATTAACTTACAGATGTCCCAAGTATGACATTCCCATTATTCACCATTAAGAAATCATAGAATTTTTGCATAAATTATGCAAATTAGGTCATCATTTGCATAATTAGTATCTGTTTATGTTCTGCCTGCCATAGGTTACATACAGTACATATATGGAAGTAGTATAATGTAAAACACTGTAATCATAGAATTTCCTCATTAATTATGCAAATAAAGTCCTCATTTGCATAATTTGCATTTAATCATGTACATCTCTCTTTCAGCTACCTACACACCAAAAATTATGAAAATATGTTGTTCCTATCTGGACTAATTGGCTTTTAAACATTTCGCCAGAAAGTGCCCTGCAGTTCAAGAACAAGCTGCTAGGGGGACCAAACTCACATCATTTATTCCTGACCGGAAAAGCAATCTGTCACCAAAACATCAAGACCATAGCATGTTCAGGACAAAAGATACAAAAACCGGAAGTTCTGCTGCAGTACCAAGGTCATCCACCAGGAGGCCCATATTTGACCTTGACGTTTGTCTTCCTAAGACTTACCAACATACCAAATATCATCATAATCCATAAAGGCGTTCTGAAGTTATGCTGACCACAAAGTTGCGGAAACACACACACACAGACAGACACACAGACAGACAGACAGACAGACATACATACATACAGACAGACACACCAAAAACAATACCTCCATTTTTCATGGAGGTAAAAAGTGCTGTGTTTCCTGTTTCAGTCCTGAAAAAAATTGGGTCGTTAGGTAGGGATTATCTTTTTTTTTCTTTCTTTTTTTTTTAGACTTTGGAAATCTCTAGTAATCCAACTAATACAGCACTGTTTAACAAAGTAAAACTTGCATGAGGATACTTATTATTCCTCATACAAGGAAGATCTCCTGTAATGTACAAAACCACACTGAAGAAACAAAATTGTCAAGCACATGTAAGCTTAAAATCCCCTCTAACAGACTGTGGTCCCTTTGAAATGTAATTAAATGTGAAAGTGTCAGGCAACTTTGCTTGTAAACCCAGACAAAACATGTCCTACTAGACCAGTCTAATTTGCCTTGGCATTCTAAGGGTTAACCTTCTGTGACTTAGATGATAATTTTTAACCCTCCCACAGAGGTGTGCCTGACCCCGCACTGTGTCATGGTGGCGAGCAAACTCATGTCCTCCATGAACATGTCCATCGACCCGTGCGACAACTTCTACCAGTACGCGTGCCAGGGCTGGATCCGCAGTCACCCCATCCCAGACGGGAAAACTCGCTGGGGAACATTCGGTCAACTGTGGGCGGAAAACCAGCAAGTCATGAGAACAGTGCTCGGTGAGTAAAATATCTTTATTGCCTTTTATGTCAGTCTGCTTTAGTGTGGGAGACTGTGGATTTAACGGCATAACTCTTGAAGGCATGGCTCGATGTTCATGATTTTTGGCAGGCAGGTTACCGTTGGGGAGATTAAGGTCAAGTGCAAAGATGGGCTTCGTGGGGGGGGGGTCCCTTCATCACTGCAGTAGACTTTTTAGTAACTGAACAGTTGTTCATACTAATAGTATGAGTATTAGTTGCAATCAAGCCATCATAAAGCCCTCCATTCCTTCTAAATATTAATTTTCCTAATTGTTTCGCTAAGATTTGCTGTAACAATTTACTTCAAACTGCCTTTGTTTTGTCAAGTGACATCCTTTTTGGGGTATTATAAAAGACCATTGTTTAATACAGCTTTACAGCAAACAATACGTTTGCAGTGCTTTGCACATTTAACCATGATTTCTGATTGTTTCCACGTTCAGAGGAGCTTGACCTTGACAAAGCTGTCAGCCAAGCAGAGAAGAAAGCCAAGCTGTACTATCTCTCCTGCATGGACGCAAACAATGTGAGTTTCATACAATTTCTGGATGGAAATCTGGTACATTATGTACTGAACTTGCTACCTGTGGGTAATGAACTGTGGGTTCGTCTGTGTGTCTGTTCAGAGTAGGTTGACAGCACATGGGTGGGTGAAAAATAAGAGATCAAATGGAAGCTGAGGATTGCATACTTCCCAGATGTCTGAAATCTTTGTTTTGTTGTTATCTGTAGCTTTTATTGTTTTAACGAAAGGGGCTTTTTGAATTTCATCCTGGAAGTGATTGTCGTGGCCACATTAATTCCTACAAACCAATCTGAGTTACACAATTTTAACAGTATAGCATAGCACAGTTGTGATGTTATTACTTGTTTATTTATTTATTCATTTCTTACATCTTGAAACACCTTGGTGGCCCCTTCAACATTAGTTGTTGATTTTCAAAGGGGCCCAGGGATACATAACACAAATCAAATACACTGTACAATTTGTATAAAAAAGAAAATCATACAACCAACATAAAAGAGAAAGGTAAACTAAAATCAGTATAGCTGAAAATTAAACTTGTATTTGACTATGTCACTGATAAGTCGTTACCTTGTTGATGAACATAACAGACAGTAGAAGAATTAGGTGCCAAACCACTGCTGGACATCATCACAGACCTGGGCGGGTGGAACGCCACGGGAACATGGAACGAAGAAACCTGGAATTTCTCCGCTCTGTTCAACAGACTACACCAGCAGTTCGACTTGAGCCCGCTCTTTTCTGCATGGGTTGGAACCGACGACAGAAACTCCTCTGTAAACATCTTCCAAGTGAGTTTTGTGTTCATTATATGTACATGTACCTTCGCAGAAGGGAAACATAATGATTGTTTTTGCTCTGTTCCTTCTTCCTCTTCTTCCTAAACAAATAAGGTCAATGACCTGAAACAGATGTCTGTCACCATGGTAACTAGTGTTGGTTGACATCATGTTTCAATTTTATAGCAGGAGGTATTTAGACTCCTGTCTGACCATATGAATGTGTTTGAGTAAGAATTAACAGATACATCTAGAGCAGACCATATGCGAAGATTAACATTATGTATTTGCTTTGCAAATGTTACCTTTCTAGACTTTCTCTGGGCATTGTTTATTGTTTTAGGTAAATTGGTAAAAAAATACACACTATGCTTTAATTGCACCGGGAAACTTAACTTTGTACAGTCCTTGGGACTGAATCAGCTCTCACGGGGGAGGAGGACACTTAAGAGAACCCTCTTGAGAGTGACAGGTGCTAGAAACATGTTATTAGGAATGGCGGCTCTGCCAAACAATTACCTCCTCCTAATGCAAGGGGCACAATCTACGTCACCAAAATGGCGTGTAGGTGTGTGGAGTTGGCGAGCGAGTGTTCGAATGCCACATTTTCCCCTTCTAGTGTCCTTCTGGGAGGTCAGTGTATAACCTAAGCTAGAAAATTAGTTGGCAGAGTATCACGGGATTGTCTGATGCCAAGCATTGTAATCGTAGTGTCTTCAAATTGAGTCGGGATATAGTGAGTTTGGTCGTTTACCTTGATGCCTTTGATGTGCGGTCACCAATCTACAACTGCACTCCCCGTACCTCGAATCAATCTGACACTCTCAAGAGGGTTCATTAAGTGCCCTCCCCCCATGTGGTGGAGTCCCAAGGACTGTAAAAATTGATGTTTCTCGGTACAAAGAGGATTCCAATTCGGGGAACTTCAGCCAGAATTCTCAAGAATTCACGACAGAGATTAATTGGCTATGTCCCTGGAGACATCTAAATGCCAATTAAATCTTCCCAGCACTTGCGTCATGCTTGCAGATGTAAATTTTGTCCTTTTTTATCAATCTATCGTCCAAAAAAATATGATTTTTGACACTTTTTTGCTTATTTATGTCTTCTTTAATTCAGTATACTACATATATATATTGTTGTTGTATATACATATACATATATACATATGTATATTGTTGTAATGATTGCCAGCATTATTATTAAGAAGATGTTGCATTTGGAGCTTTGTGAGTGAAAGAACAAATGATACTCATGCTTATGACTGGAAAAATGGATGGATGAATATTGAAAAGCCCAATGTTACATACACTATAAAGTTAAGATTTCTGTACCAGGTTGACCAGGGAGGGTTAGGACTCCTAGATCCTGGACAGAGACTACTACCCAAACAAGAGTTTTTACTATGACTGATTTTCCTGTTCCAGGTTGACCAGGGAGGGTTGGGACTCTCTGACAGAGATCATTACCTAAACAAGAGTTATTACACTTTACAATGACTGATTTTCACATATCAGGTTGACCAGGGAGGGTTAGGCCTCCCCGACAGAGACTACTACCTGAACAAAAGCGAGACAGATGAGGTTCTGGTGGCGTACCTGGCGTACATGACAGAGCTCGGCATTCTGCTGGGAGGTGACCGCAATGAGACCATGATGCTGATGAGCGAAGTTCTGGATTTTGAGATAGAGCTGGCAAATGTAAGGATGCTGTTGAAATCTTGTAATATACAGATCTGAATAACATTGAATGCATTCTATGAGTCATTTCAGAGGGTTTGTGTTTCATTTAACTTTCTTCCTTCTGCCTAACCCCGTACCAAGTAGGTACACAAATGCTACTTCAGTGTGCTAAAGGTTACTTTTTTTCAGTGCATAATCATGATAATTGCAATTATATTTACCAGCATTGTGAGAGATATAGCTGGTTGCCTATCTTCACTTTAAGCATGTAGTATAGGACATTCGTCAATTAGTTTCCACTAATTCAGAAGACAGTACACAATGTAGTTCTGTGCAAGGGCATTAAAAATTGTCTTCTCCCAATTGTGACTATTTTCAGCTGTTAACTGTTCACCATTGAACAGGAAGTGTATTTCCAAGTGATATGCATTGAGCGTAAAAAGATTCCCTTCCATTCATGTATTTTACAGCTAGAAGAAGCTGGGAAATTGAGTTGTACATGTAATTTGCTTTGATGAATGACGTTTGGAGATCCAATCAGCTTGTGATATCATTTAGTACTGTCTGTTGTAACTGTCTTTGTCACCCACTAGATAATGGAAAAGAAATTAGAAAATAATCTACTCTGCCAAACAAAAGCTCACATTGATTAACTTAATTGGATTTTTGGATTTTCAAGTGCCAAGAGTTATTGAAATCAAATCTACCTTTCAGCTTTCGTATAGCATGATGTACAATTGGATGATGAAAATGAAAATGGTTATATAATTGGTGATGCAAAAACAGTTTGTTCCAAACTGGAGTGAAAAACATTTCTGAAATTTCCTTCAGAAACAAATAGATCTTACTTGTGACCTCATGGAAAGGATGGTGAAAAATTCACAAAAACTTTCATTTGGAAGACAAGATAGAGGTAGATTTGGGCATCATAAAATTTTCCTCATAACTCCTGTTTTTCCTGTGTGTGTTCAATGTAGATAACAACACCAGATGATCAGAGACGAGACCAGGAGATCATGTACCACAGATATAACCTCAGCATCCTGCAGGGTATGGCACCTATGGTGAGACCATCTCTGTACTCAGATAATCATACATACTTAGTATTACCCCCTCCCTCTATCATTATTCTGACCTGATAAAAGTTTTCTTGCAACACTGCATAAAATCCTTTAGGAGCTTGAGCACACCTTCATCATGCCCAAAGGCTCAAAGGTCCACTTTTTTATCTTAAGATTTTTCTTTAAAAGATGGACTGATTCGTGTCACCAGCAAGACTGGAATCGTAGGAAATTAAATGGCCCCTGGACCCCCTAGAAACCTCTCGCCTACAGCGCTCGCTGGTCGCTCAAGCAGTGGGAAGAACCCCCCCCCCCTTCAAAATCCTGGCTACAGGCATGTTCATGTGGAAAGGTCCTTGACTTGTGCTTAAAGAACGGACATCTAGTAGTGAAAGGGACTTTGGTCAGGAATGGTATGCCATTTGCCAAGACTTTCAATACTATTTTATTCCAACACAAAGAATGGTTTTCAGAGCTATTGACCAGTCACTAGAATGGTCTTCCTCAGTCTATAGTGGATGACCAGAGTGACTGGTTGAAAGCTCTAGAATCCGTCCTGTTGACTCGACTTTTTAAAGAGAGTACCCTACTGACATTGTTTCCCCAGATCAACTGGACCCTGTACTTCACCACGATGCTGAAAAACACAGGGATAAGTATCAACCCATCAGAACAGCTGGTGGTGTATGCACCTGAGTACCTACACCATGTCACCAAACTAGTCAACAGAACTCCAAACCAGTAAGTAATATATGATAACCATGCAGCTGATAAGAATGTTTTGAGATCTGTGTTTGTGAGATAGAGTATCCAAGTATTAAGCTTGTTTGCATGTGAATGGCAATACACAAAATACACTCATCTCTTATTTGTTAGAACTACTTTAAACACACACACCGTATCCTGTGGACTCTGTCCTTGGTGCTGAATGCTATCCACCCCTTTCCCCCATACACATGTATTAAATACATTATGCTTATACAAAAAATCGTACTTCTTTAGTTCTAACTGGCCAATCATGCAAACAATTATTTTCTGAAGAAATTTCTGGATGATCTAGAAAATGTAGCCTACAAATGAAGAATTTGTGAAAGAGATTAGTGTACATCTTTTATCTGTTATGGCAATGCCTCGGGTAGACAAGAAAGTATAACAGTCTTAAATCTAATGATTGTTTTTCCTGTTCTTCACAGTGTGTTGAACAACTACCTGCTCTGGAAGGTAGTGTCCCTGTTGTCACCGTACCTCAGTAAACCCTTCCAGGACGCAGGACACAAGATGACGGAGGTCCTGACGGGGAAGACGGAGAGAGAAGCCACCTGGAAGGAGTGCATCTCTGAGACAAACGAGGTGGTTGGGTTCGCCCTGGGAGCCATGTTTGTGAGGGAAGCTTTTCACAACAGCAAGGCCAAGGTATGTGCAGCAGTCTTCACAGCTGATACTGGGATTTTCTTTTTCACAGCCAGTAAATAAATGTCTCTCACCTGCTTACATTTCAATGTCTGTGACTGTGAGACACCTTCCTCAGAGCTTCTATAACTGGACTTCTGCTTCTTGCTGCTATATGTAGCTGATGCAGGTGGCACTTTTGCAACAAGAACACTAAATTTTCTAAATTTGGCTAACTTTGTATCCTCCCTTATCTAATAGACATTAAAATGTAAGCAGGTGAGAGACATTATTGTTGACAATGTGTAAAAGAACATCCAATATCCTCATAGTATGTTCTACCAACCTAATGAAATTATTTTTGGAAAGGTGGAAGCCTTTACAGCTTGTGAATTTAAGTTATATGGAATGTCTTCAAACCCCAAATATTCTTCCAACTTGAAGAAATATATTACGCTGTGTGTAAATGTGTACAGTAATAATGGCAAATAGTTCATGTATACGATTTGAGATTTGGTTTGGGTATCTTATGATCCATAATTTTGTTTTCATGATTGTGATTCTTGCTGAGAGCTGCACCATTTTGTTACAAAGTTATCAGGGAAAGGTTATAAGCTGTTTGATTGCCCATGTCCAGGCTGAGGAGATGATAGGTGATGTGAAGAGAGCCTTCATCAGAAACCTGCCAAACCTGCAGTGGATGGACGATGAAACCAGGAGGGCAGCTGAGGACAAGGTCAGATAGAAATTGCGAGTCTTGTCAGAAGGATAGGTCATTCGCAGTTGATAAGGCCACACCAATTTAATTTGTTGGTTCTCGGATTCCCCTCTGCATTTTTTTCTGATTTGCAAAAAATGATTCTGGTTCTCAATCAACTCAAAAATGTTCATATTTTGTCCTTAACTGTTGGCCAACAGTTGAGGAAATTCCTTTTCTTCCTAGTTCCTGCAGTTTTTCCATCTATCAATGCAGAGGATTGATTAAAAGTTCAAAATTCATTGTTTAAATAATAACCCAGTCTTTTGTGTTGACTTCATGGCTCCTATCGTAGCATTTGGGGCTACAGTCAATAGGATGCCCAGACCGTTTTTTATTGATGTGGCCTATATAATGTATGGAATTAACCAGACAATGACTTGGTTTGGTGTTTCAGCTCTTTGAGTTTCATAAAGTGGTCATCATTATATGAAATCAGTGGTGTCCTTGTAGCTAAATGTAATGTTAATGGTGGCAATGTTATGAATTAAGCAGTACTATTGTGTACTGTATTACAGGCTGAGGCCGTCTATGATATGATTGGCTTTCCAGACTACATCCTCGATCCTGAAAAACTAGACGAGAAATATGAACTGGTGAGACCAAAGTCTTTTTGTATTGATGTAACAGTTGTTTTAGAGGAAGTCACTTTTTTTTACAAATTACAGTAACAGTTGTAGAATCAGTATGACACAATGCTTCAATTCTTGGTTGTGGAAGATATTACTTGATATCTTAAGTAATACACATATTAATAATATGGCGTGGATTTTGTCCTCTTTCTTCTGTCCAGCTTGAAATGAGAGCCGACGACTACTTTGGGAACTACGTCAGATTTTTGGCCGTTGACGTCCTCAAAAACATGAAGAAGTTGAGACAACCAGTGGACAGAAGGAAGTAAGTAATACCCATCATCATCATCACCATCTCTGGAGCCTAAAGTCAAGCAAGTAATACTAACTACACATAAACTGATAGGTTGATGAACTCAGATAGCAGCCGTATTTGATACAGTATGTTATATTCAAAGTTGGTTGCAGCTTAGAAACTAGTTTCCAAAAGGGTTTTTATGAACTTAATACTCATCATGTGCTGGTAGTCTTTTTATATAGGGCCAGGGCTCCAGCCATCTTGAAGTTTTTTACCATCAGCCCAGGTCCATCATCAGATTTGGGGAGGCGCTCGCAATGTAGGGAGGTCTGGGGGCATGCTCCCCGGGGAAATTTCGGATCTTCAAGCCTTCAAAAATGCAATTTCCCACATTTTGAGAGGCAAATCATGGCATTGAGAGTGGTTGTCAGTAGTTCTTTGGATATTTTCATATTTTTACCCAAGATTTTTGTCAATTTTGTCTGTCAAGGTTGGTTTTAGAAAATTTCCATCACACGCCACAAAGTTCTGGTAATTGACGGAAAACTGGTGCTGGCTAGAGCCCTGTGTAGGACTCCACAGTCACATGTTTTGCGAGTCTATTCTTCATGTTGTTTCCCACTCCATGTGGGCTCCACTTCATTTCCTGTGCCCATGCCAGCATTCCAGGCCCTAAGCTTGAGAAAATTGCATTCCTTGACCTGAGCTGACTCCAAAGAATTGATCTTCCTGTGTAATTTTCCTTTGCTAGATGGTCCATGACCCCACCTGAGGTCAATGCCTACTACTCACCCAACAAGAATGAAATCGGTAAGTCTCTACAAGCAGACAGTAAAAAGTTGGGAGTTCTTAGAAAAAAAGATTAGAATGCTTTCAATTTCTTTGCAGTCAGAAGCCAATTGTTAAACATTTTGTTCTCTATTTGAAAATGTTTCTTTGGCAAATTTTACTGTCACTAGTAATATGAATAATCAGTGTTTCTTTTGTCACAAAAATGCTGGTACCAAAACAGACTGTTTCTATCCTTCCAGTCTTCCCAGCTGGTATACTACAGCCACCATTTTATGACCCCAACAGCCCAAAGTAAGTATATTGTACTGCATAACAATTCCTCTGGTGCAAAATATAAGATCACAGGGCAAGAATGACATGTGCAAAAGCCTAAAACAATGCATTGTCAACAGTACCTCAACTTGAGAAATCAACTCATATATCTAATAATTACATCTTATTATTTTGTATTCATTGTATACATCTAAGTAATGATGGCCGGAGCAAAGTTGGGAAGCTTTTGATTCAGTTGTTTATAACCTGTTCTATTCCAAAAGGTCACTGAACTTTGGAGGCATTGGAGTGGTGATGGGACATGAACTGACACATGGATTTGACGACTCAGGTAAAACACTACATGCTTTGATGGATGAAAGTGCACATCTTTAGATCCTATCATGAAAGTTCATCTGTGTTGGTAGTTACATGTTTAAAGTTAAAACTTTTGTTCCAACACAAAAAATTCTCTCACCTAGAGCTTTCGACCAGTCACTCTGGTCTTCCTCAGTAGACTGACCCAGTGAAGCTTGTCTCATGGCTTCTTTGAAGTGTGACGTCAACACTGGGTCATCGTCTACCAGATACCTTTGACCCAGTGTTGACGTCACACTTCAAAGAAGCCACGTGACAAGCCTCACTGGGTCAGTCTACTGAGGAAGACCAGAGTGACTGGTCGAAAGCTCTTAGAGAATTTTTTGTGTTGGAACAAAAGTTTTAACTTTAAACATCTTTAGATCCTGCTATGATCCTCCTTTATGTTACACCAGGGCAATACTTTGTGCTGCATTTGCCTTTATGATTATAATATACCAACATTGAGGTCCTTGACATATCATTTCACATTCCCCTCTAAGATTTGGCGACACTACTGGCATGCCACAAAAATCATTAATTTTTTCTAATTTTTTTGTAGATTCTCTAACCACAGTGAAAGGTAATACTGACTTGATTCTTTTCTACAATGTTTGCAGGTCGTGAGTTTGACAAGTTCGGGAACCTGAAGCCATGGTGGAACAATGTCTCAGTTGCAAAGTTCAAACAACAAGCTCAGTGTATGGTCGACCAGTACTCAGGATATACAATCAATGGGGAACATGTAAGTAACACAGCTTCTTTTTATCATATCCCGTTATATTTTTAGCTTCTTATGTGGAAATCTATATGATTTTGTGCTATTTTTTTACTACTGTTTGTTTTTCCTTCCTTCAGGTTGATGGGAAACAAACGTTAGGGGAGAACATTGCTGACAATGGAGGCTTGAAGTCTGCTTTTCATGTGAGGAAATTATGAGTACACTGTACCCGGTACACTCTGTTTTAAGGCTTTTCTGTAGAATATATCGTCATTGTACATGTGTGGTGGGGCATTTTTCAGTTTGACATAAATTAACACTTCTTACTAAAGGTCCGTAAGATGTGTACTCTTGCAGTATACCACAGTACAATTCCACTGGATGGGGCAGCCACTTCATTCAAACATAATGAAAACAATCTAATCATGGAATGGTGATGATAACTAACATACATTTATCTGTTCCTATGCATTTGTTGACTCCCTGCCTCCCTCCCATTCAGGCCTATGAAGACTGGAAGAGAAGAAACGGGGATGAGGTGCCCCTACCTGCTGTAGGGCTCAGTCACAACCAGCTTTTCTTTGTTTCCTTCGCTCAGGTAAGAACTACAACAGTACTGCTTTCTTTCTACACTTTTGTCTGCAATGAAACTGATTTCTTTTGCATAATCTTTTATGTTCATACTTCAGCAGTCTTATTGTCTCGGGGCAGTGCTGACTTGAACTACTTGTCTTTAATTTTATGGCTTTTGTTCAGCTCATAGTTCTCTGAGATTTCAGTAACCTTTCAGTAATGCTAGATTGTCAGTCATCTTTTCCATTCCCCAGCATTAGTAACTGCTGATTGGTTAAAAGCTTGATTACATTATTCCTTCTGCCACTCCTGTAGGTATGGTGTGATCGCAGGACTGAACAGATAGCCCACGAGGCCTTGTTAACGGACACTCACAGCCCTGCAAAGTGGAGGTAAGATTTGTGAAAAAATTACGTTTTCTGTGTTATGGCTATCAGAATGTGATGATTCACTGCAGTATTAACTGAGAAAATCAATATGTTTCTCCTTATATTGTTATATCAAAATGTAACTTAATTTCTGCTTATTTATCCAGTTATGAGGCTGAACATATTTGTCAGAGTGACTCTCATGAGCCTTGTTTTGTGGTGAATTATGAAGTAAATGAAAAAAAAGTGACGGACATGTTCGTTATTGTTTTCTAAAGTGTTAAACAGTCCTGAAACTTACATCCTCTTGCCAAGTTTTAGCTCTAAGGAGTAGCATGGACTATGTATATAGGAAGCTATCATCATTTGTTCTTCATCTTGTGCAGGGTCATCGGCACTTTATCCAACTCCAAGGACTTTGCCCGAGCCTTCAACTGTCCAGTGGGAAGCACCATGAACCCTAAAGACAAGTGTGAAGTCTGGTAACGTTTAAACTCACAGCATAAGATTTGTCCTAACTACAGAGACATGTCTGAATACAAGTGGAACAACTCTACTATACTGTATGTAGGTAACAAGTATAGATAATTGTGATTCAGACTGGGATTTTCCTTAAAAGTTTAATATGTTCCTACTGAGGGTACTTAAGCCTTTTCCTAAGAAAATGTGACTTAAAGCTGAGAGGTAATGATGGTAAGAACCCACAAATAAAGACGAGACCAGTTAGTAGTAAACACAGTTTGCTGGCCAAGCTGCAGTTTAAACCAAGTACAGTTTATTCCAGCGACATAGAGAGCTATGGATACGTGCCATACAGCACACTCTAACAGTTTCATTTGTTCATCGGTGTCTGGATACATGCTTAGCATGGTGATCATCATGACTGGTTTATTGATTGTTCACAGGATAACAAAGACGTCTGGCAGCCACAATGCAGAATTGTGTGGCTTAGACAATACACCTTAAGATGCTCATTTTTACAAAGTTACTTTGTAGCTAAAATCTCTTATTTGCATCCTCATTTGCATACAGGTACAGGTACAGAGAAAACTGCAATCTTAGATGCAGAATGAGGCAGATATTCAACATTTGATTGTAGACAAAAAGACTAAATGTAGTTAAAAAATCTTAAGTATAACTATATGGATGAATTCATTAAACATTTTGAACAAGTTCCTCAAAACATGCTATTTTAATTCTAATTTTTGAGACATATGTTAGACATATTAGAAGACAAAGTTTACACAGGTGCATATAACAGTCTTTCTTGGAACATTTGCGTGGGAAACTTTACCACAAGCTCAATTAACACATCAAGGCAGTTCTGACAATGGAAACCATATGGTGCCATATGGATCGAACAGCATAGACAACACATATAGCTGGCTGTTCACTAATTGTGTCATAAAATTCAATGTAATTTGGGAACTTCTGTGCAACAATAATCACACAAATCTATAATCCACAGAGACTATATAATCAGACAGAAGAAAGATTTGAATCTATTTAAGACCAGAGAATATTAGAAGATTATATTTGTTGTGTAGATGCCTATTATATTGTTGAGTGTGCCTTCATGATTAGAGTGTCAGCTGCATAGTAGTAGTTGTACAATGTAGTAGTATGAACAATGTATACGAAAATAGAATCTTTCTTTCACAACCTGAAAGTTCTTACCCACAGACACATTTGTAACAGTTTATAGAAACACTAGCTTTCTTTGATATAGTTAGCTACATGTATATAGATGTACTGAGTCCATTTGTATTAGACTAAGATTATACATGTAATTATGTTTGATATTTGTCATGACATAGATGAAGTAGGATAGTAATAGTAAACTTTTATCATTGCATCTCAGCCCAGCAAAAAAAAAAGTTCAGTGAAATGTATTTTATATGAGTTTGGTTTGGTTTCAATATGAGAAATTAGGGTGCAATTTTTGAATTTTTTGTGAATCACCCTCTCTGTAAGACTGGCTCAAATCTAGATACTAGTATCATGTGGTTGAAATCTTGATATTAAGTTGTTTAAGGTATATCTTGATGTTATATTTGTAAAAGAAAGGAATTCGCATCTGGAAAACTAATAATTGTGCTGTGACACAGTACATGTAACATTATACACAGAAAAAACACATAGACTTAGAAGTTGTGATCCTTGCTGTCTGGGAGAAATGTTTTAGATTTGAGGGGTTTCATACATACATGTAGTTCTATATGATATAGATCCAATCCTGTTTAATGACTGATAGGAAGGAAAAACAATTGATTTCATATGAGAAGCCCATCTACAAAATTGTGTCAGCTGCATCAATACCATTACCACAGGCTTCCCCACATATATGTGTATATAAAGAAATATCTATATGCTAAGAATTGGGTGTATTTTTGAGATGTACAGCAAACTATGTATGTTTGAAAGTTATTGTTAGCACATTTTTTGCTACTGTGAAAGAAGGCTCTTTAGGTAATGTTTCTTGTGTCATTTGGACATTCAACATATCAGATGAATGTGAACTTAATTGCTACAAATTGGATAAACAGGTTAAAGATTGAAAGGAATTTTTAAGGAGCTATATTAATTTTGTAGTTTGTGAAATTTAGTTCTAGTTGGATGTATCAACTTCAAGTGAATGTTTTAGTAGTTTTCTGTGCTTTGTCAAATGACAAGACCTGCATGTAAACAGACCAAAGCTGAGTTGAACCCAGAATGCCAATCAAAGTTATCCGACTGGCTGCTATTCTACAAAAGCCATTTCTTCTTGGAGCTGAACATAAGTGCAAGTGTAAGTCTCATAAAAACTTTATCAAACGCAGCACATATTAGGTAGAGTTGGAAAAGTCCAATTTGAATATACAAGTTTGATTCCATGATGATATCTACTGTGCAAGCATAGACTTGCTACTTCTCATGAAAATCTTGTCTTTTTGACAGATATTAAGTAATCAGAGATATTTGTGGCCATTCAGTTACAGCAGATTCAACGTTCTACATTAAGTCAGAATGTATTGGTGTTGTATAGGCCCAAGTGTATTTTTGAAGTGTTTAAAAATGATAAAGTATAATATACTTGTATGGATTATTATCACCTCTACATGACAAATTGTACCTACATGTTATTTTCCATGTAAAATTAAAGTTTGCTATATTGTGATTTTTTATTTGGTCAAAGTTGTTAGCTACTAGTAACTTCAGAAGTTATTGTGGACACATAATGTGAAAAATAGTAAAGGGCAAGACTTCTGAATGGCCATGATATGATTTTGATATCAATGTTGTCAACTTGGAAGGTATTGCCTTAGAGTACTTCAAGATGATTCGATTTGTAGTAAAAAAAGGAATAACATCACAAAGGTTTGTAAAGACTTTAAGGGAACAAAAAATCATTCTAACAGCATAGTATAACTGACATGGCAGCAACATCTTTATAGTGGTGTTGCGTACTTCTGTATACAGGGAAACTGATGTATTTTGCGATATGAACCATGTAGAGTTGTAAAATGTGAGCAAAGATGTCACTTATATGTAAATCGGACACATTACTGAATATAAAACTTTTTTTTGGTATTCTGCGGTGTTGTTTGTACAGTTAAAGCTTGTCATGGTTGTTTGGATGTTTTGTATGTCTTCCAGTGAAAAGAGCGTTTTGTTTTATAGTATATTTAGGTAAAGAAAATAGACGACACAGAAAGTTTGGATATTTCTTTGTTACCGCATGTACCAGAATATTAATGTTTATCTAATTTATTTACTTCATATAGCATCTTTGAAGAATGCAACAATCAGTTTTTCAATTATGATTGACTCAAACCAAAAGAATTTTTTACATTTAATCTAATGCAAAAGGAATGAATTCCTTAATACATGTATAATATGTATATAGACTATTTACACATACATTCCTCCCAGAGGAACATGGCAATGAGCTAAAGGTTAATTTTCTATGACGAAAGCGAATACTAGAATTTCAGTGACTCATAACATCTGCCCTGTACAACTTCCAAGCTGCCTTATGAGTGACATATCTATAGCCATATACAGGAAAATCATAATTTGATACTATATAGTGCAGATGTTTTCTGCACGTCTAGGGTCAGGATATTTCACCTACAAATGTGTAGAATTTTTGAAGGAAATTTTAGGTTCCAGGTCTTAGTTTCCAATTCACGAGTCCTTCTGAGTGGAGTTTGTTCCAGAGGATTTTCTCATTGGGGTAACTGTGTGAACTGGGTTCATTAAGGGCATCCTCCACTCTCTGTCCATCGTAGTAATGCAGGGGAAAACGGGTATCGAACCCGAAACCATACATGTCGACCTGTGGAGATGCAAATGAATGAATGAAAGTTTATCACTGTGTCTTGCCACTACATGCCACCTAGCCCAAATGGGCTTATATGACACCAATAAAAGAAAACATCATAATACAAAACGGTACAGAGTCAAATCAAAAGGTAACATAGGAGGTAGATACGAGGTAGATACAAATGAGTTGGAAAATGACATACAGAAAGTGTGAACATTCAACAGACAACTTTGGTAATCAGAATGATGACCAACAAAAAGCTACTGCCTTCACAAGCCAATATACTTGACAAGCCAATACACTTCATAATTCACTGAACCAAGGAGCTGCAAATGAACAGGGACTTTTTTGCATTTTTGGGAAGGTAGACTGGATCTGTCCTTGGTGCTGAATGTGTCACTAAGGGGTCTGCTTTGATTGCATGAAATATGTATGGTCAACATTCTGATAACTACTGGGTATGGAAGTGTTGTTTTGGGTGTATGAATGAATGGTGGGTTTTGTATCTGTTTGTCCAGAGTAGGTTGACAGCACATGGGTGGGAGATTGACAGGCAGAATGAGAGGAGATCCAAGGTCTCTCAGAATCTCACCAGGAGCCAGCGGGTCTTGGGAGAATTCAGGAAGCTGAGTATTGCATACTTCCCAGAAAGTCAAAAATATTTTTTAAAATCCATGTTTTTCCGCCTGTATCTAGAAATCACCATTGAAGGAAGGCCTCCAATTTTTGCCCAAGACCTACCAGCATTTTGCACTCAACGTATATGTATGTGTCAGTGTGTTTATGTGTGCAGGAAATGTCAGAAGAGATATTTTACTGGTATGGATGATATACTAGTATAATAGTGTCTTCCTACCTGATCACATAAATGAATGGCTAATAGAATGACCATCGTGCCGGTGGTTGGTCGACTCGAGGTGGAGTTGAGGAATCTCTCGTGCACGTAGCGGAAGAAGTGTGGGTGTACGATCATCATGTTACCCTGCTTGTACTTCGGAGCAGGCATGGACCTACAAGAATCAAACTCACACAGTTATTCAGAAATTTGCTATAAGTTAGGATCAGGATATGAACTATGTGGAATTTGTTTCTACAAAGCTATCTACGTGATGAGACTTATGTGGCGAAATTTACATTGAATTCGTAGAATGCACAGAATTTCAAAGGATTAGTGTTAAAATCACCATGTCATTTGTTGGGTTTGATAAGGTAATCAAGAATGGCAAAAGGTAGCTATTGATGGCTGTCATTTTCTGAAATGTTAAAACTTTCATCAATTTTGTTTTCATGGCACAGAAACCAGGCCTTGATAAATTCATTTGAATGGTATAAATTAATTAATTTGAAATCGTAAGAGAGAAGACGTTTCTAATCAAGGGTGCATTCCTAAAACAATCGGCTTTGACACAATGACAATGTTTAAGTGTTTTGTGTGTTGCCAACAGTGGCAGTGACTGAACAAGTTTTTAATGATATTTTCAATTATGATAGTTTTTAATTACTTTAATTGGTTTACTGGTGGTAGTTACTTAGGGATATATATTCATTCTAACCTGTCCTGTTTGCTGTTGTATTTTGAATTTGTTATCGAACAACCGAGAGTCAAACTACAGTCAGCAGAGCACTGCAATACGCTAGACTGAGCCTGTCCTTGGCGCTGAATGTGCCATCACGAGTACTTCGGGTGTTTTCAGTAGTACTGAAATTTGCCGGTAAACCTCTCTTCTACCCTTAAACTATTACAATCACTTTATCCTGTTTAAAGAGATGATGTCTAAACATACGCTTACTTTTTTTTTCGTACCAAAACCAGATAATTGCGTTGCTAATTGTCTAAAAGAGATGCTATTGTAGCTCGCATCTAGAAGCGGTGAGTTATGTCACGGCTTCCCCAGATATCATTTACCTAAGTAAAAACAAACAAAAGTTTCAAAGACAGATACGAAGATTGTTGTTAACAATCGACACTTGAGCGGTGGGAAAAAAGACACTACGCTCATCGACTCGTCCACACAATTAAGAAAAATTACCAGAATCTGATTTTGGGTGGCTGCTTCCCCTCCAAAACATGCTTCAGCCATAGAATGTCAAACGGCTTGAAGACCATGAAAATCATCTTTGTTTCGTCCTGCAGTGAAAAATGCGCCAAAAGCGTAGTTTCAAAACCTTTAGAGGAGAGGGGGGGCTCGTGAGAGAGCGGGGATGCGAGAGCCACCTTGACCCTTGACCTTTACTATGAGACACCTGATTGTACAAATAGTGTTCTCCCACATGCAGATTAAGATCAGAGTTAATCAAGAATTAACCACGGCATCCCTGTGGCCGCAATAAGGCTGAGAATTTCTGGTCTCACCAACACATGCCAGGTTTAAAGCCAGTATAGCAGTAGTTGTTTGGATGCCATCCTTTCAGCACGTCACCGAGCCATTCTGCATCGAAGCTCTTGAAAATCATCATCATCATTTTCGTCTCGTCCTGTCAGGGGTTCCGAAATCATTAATCATCAGAAAAGATTACTTTTTTTTAGTTGATCGGTTTCTTTTTCCTCAGAATCAGCTGGTTGCATGGAAGTTAGAGTTGTTGAAGGTGTCAGAGTTCAATACGTTTTTGTGAGAGAGGACTTACAAAACTGTAGGGTTTTACCGTTTAAAAAGTTAAAAAAATCTGATACGACATACATAACTATATAATTATGTCGTGTGCACATATACCCAACAATAAGGTATCTAAAATGACGTTAAAATTGTATAATTTGTGTAAAATATGTTGCTTTACAGTTCTCTTTGGTGACATATTATCATTATCATTCGTAAACAGGTTTAATTCAATGTTAATTCTAGGCTTTAGACTGTGACTTCCTTCAACAACTCTCTTCAGTGCACATCCCGTTTGCTTGTTTTTTTTTTATCGGACAAATTTCTCACCGACAATACGTCTGTCCCCAATGGTTGGCGCAGATTTTGTCGGGCTCTCTGCCCTGTAACGTACTACGGAGCCATTTGATGTGGAAGTCGCTGAAGAGCATCATCATCATTAGGGTGACGTCCTGGTATGAAATGAATGATGAGAAAGTGGTGAAATGGGAACTACGATGAGAGAGTGGGAACAAGGTAAGACGTACGCAAATATGCTTCAGCATCGCTAAGAAATGCTAGAGCATGCTAGAGCATATTTAGTGCACAAAGGTGAGTCATATAATGATGGAATGAGGATGAACATGATGGAATGGAAGATGAATGATATATGTCTTTCTGTGGATGCTAGACAAAGTTTGGCAAAACATTCATTGTTGTGACCCAAACTAAGATAAAGAAAACTGCAACAAGTATAAAAAGCAACGAGATCGTAACATGAGTATGCTATGTTAACTTGTGGATTATGCTCTAGACATAATGTATAACAACACACACTGCAGATCCTAACTAACTAAATTAACCCATAATTAACTCGACAGTAACCTATCGATAACTAGTGACCTATCCAACTAACTAAGTTGTCGAGAGAGTACATTGACTGACAGACTTACGTCGAACTTGTCGTCCCGTCCGAAGTTGATCCTGTTGACGATGGACTCCGGGAAGAAGCCGTAGAATGACGACTTGTTGCCGACGTCATTCACGTACCGTTTCCCGGTCAAGGCCACGTTCACCCTGAGGCAACATAGACGGTGTGACGACGGTGAAGGGGGGTCTTTTACTACAAGCAGGTATAATCTTAGATCCGGCCTCTAGATCGTGGGAAATATCCCTGTCGTTGTTTGCACAACCATACAATGGCCCACAGTATCTAGCACGTTTTGAAACGGCTGCACTGTCTATCAGCTACCTTTCAAAATCTTGGACATAATAGTGCGGAAACTACAATACTGTATAAAGATTTTTTTCTTCATACTTAAAAATACTGACAATTAATTATGGGTCGCTGTTGTATCCAGAATCGCCTTTTTTTTAGAAAAAAAAATCCCAGGTACGGTTCTGGATAGTCCACGCGTATCCAGAACCGGGGCTGGAGCAAATCTTTTTGGATACGTGGAGACTATCCCGAAACATTCCTAATCCTAACCCAAATCAAATCTGGCATAGAACTAGATAGGAAGGGTATAAGTAAGGTACATACTCCACAAATGGCACACGTTCCCCCTCCAGATTAAGTTAACGCATGATTTTAAATGTTAGAGATCATCCTACCTGAAGACATAATCATGGCTGTCTATCTCCTCCCCCTTCCCCGAAAACTTGAGGTTCCCGCCCGTGCCGACCACTGCGCATGTCACACACTCCTTCCGGGGCTCCGACATCGCCTCTGGGAACGTCAGGTTTGGGTTCTGGAGCGTCTCTTTCAAACCTACAAAAGTAACAAAATACTGTCTGATGATATTTGATTTGATTTGATTTGATTTATTGAAATTACGCAATACACGCGGAGCAGAGGCAGCTGTTACCGGTGTTGTGTCCCGCACATAGAAACGAATAGTGGACAGACAATACTCAGTTTCACTTGAGTCTAGTGGGGAAAGTCGTGTAAAGTGCCTTTCCCAAGGGCACAAGATCGGTGGCATGTCAGGACTCGAACCCGGGACTTCTTGATTCCGAGTCGCGCACGCTGCCGTTGCGCCACACGACCCCACGATATGGATGTACTATTTCCGTAAAATCATCTTTTTTAAGGGAAACGAAAACTGTATGCTGTGCAAGTACAATACATTTGAATTTTCTTCTATTCCAACATTTATTATGAAACATGGCAACGGCACACTCAAGTTTTTTCAACTTGCATTTATACCGCCTCCAACACAGACAAACGCATGAACGGACAAGAGACATACTCATTTTCACCTGTGTAAAATGAGAAAATTCGTGTAAAGTGCCTTTCCCAAGGGCACAAAATCGGTGGCATGGCAGGATTCGAACTCGGGACCTATGTATTGGTTCCGAGCCGAACGCTCTGTCGTTACGCCACAAAAATTAGAGCTGAAATACCTTTAACGTCCAGCCCGTTGACACCAAACGGCGCAGAGTCTCCGTTCAACATGTTGAAAGTGTCCGGGTCGAAAACTTCCCTCTTGTGCAGGAACAGTTTGAGATTTTCTATGAAGCGAGCCCGGAACCAAGGCGACCGGGACGCCTTCTGAGTCATGCTGGTCGGGCACGTCTGGAAGTGGGAAATAATGTTATTATGTTTACCAAAGGAAAACATATTGTTTTTACTCAGTTTCTTCTTCTTCTCCTTCTCCAAACAGTGACCTCTGACCTGACCAATGACATGATTTGTTGACGTCTGCCACCATGGTGACTGGTGTTGGGTTACATAATGTTGCAATTTCATGGTCTGCTCTGCTCCTGTCACTATACACTAGTAGTACATGTATTTGAATATGTTTGAGTAAAAATTAAGAGGGCAGACCATGTCCGAAGGTAAACATTATGCATTTGCTTTGCAAATGTTACTTCTCTAGTTTTCTTTCCGATTTCCTCAGAAAAAAACTAATGGCGTTGCATAGAGGAAAATCACTGATTAGGTATAGATATATTGAGTCAAAGAAATTTCTCAAACCACCTTCAGAGTCATGCTAGTTGGGCCGGGTACGTCTGGGAATGGGAAAAGGTCACTTCTCTTTCCGTTTTCATCAGAAAAACAAACTAACGGCGTCGCATAGCAGACAATCACTGATAGCCAAAGAAATGCCCCAAACCATAGCACGATGTGATTTTTCTTATTTATAAAATCAAAAGTCGTTATTAGATTGACCAACTTAAGAAATGTGTCACTAGTTAAAGCATTGAACCGTCCAATAAAGTAATATCATAAAACAGCGTATATCATAAAAAAGCGTTTACAAATCAGATGAAAGGAAATAATATGAACAAATTAAGAACAGATATTGACAGATAATGTTCTGAAAAAAGGTTCACTTACCGACGGTTTATGATTCTTGTCCAGAATGTACGATTTAAAAGGACCCAACTGCTCCAAGTGTTCTATCCTTGCCGTCATTTCCGCCACGGTTGGTCTTGGTTTATTCCACAACGTGCCGTTTAATATAGTCTCTAATGCTGCGATGTCTATTTTACCTGTATCACTCAACACTTTCAGCATTTTAGTCATTATTATATTCCGTTCCTGTTCGTTTGCGTTTCCTAAAAGATTGTGTTCCTCCATGATTGTTATGAGGTCTACTAGAGTGTGGAAATGGTCTTTTGCGTCTGGTTTGTGTTCTTGAGTAGTAGTCGTGGGGCTAGTTACTGTCGTGGTTTGAGGGAGACCTTTGACTGGTGTTGGCGTCGTTTTCAACCGTTCGATGTGGATCATTTTACGTTGGTTGATGTTAATGTTTGTTGCAAAGGCTGGTCGGTCTGTATCTGTGAAAATAACCCTAAGAGGGGGAAATAGTATAATTTGTAACATTGGCGTACAAGACCCTTAGTCAGATCGCTGTCGCACCGAGTCCTTGTTGTAATGAAAATGTTGCGTCAAAATGACGAGGAAGTGATGAAAATAGTTTCACACATATACACACATAAGAGAGTTGCAACATCCTGGAATTCAGATTTTGAAATTCAACAAACGAATATCTTTTGACACATGGAATATAGGAGGTAAATAAAAAAATACATACTCATTCAAGGAACTTGACAAAACCTTACAAAGTAATAACACTATTCAACGTTCAATAGGTGGATATGTTCTAAGATAATAAGCTGTTTGAAATTCTAAGTCCACAGTATACAAGTTGTTTTACCTTCTCCCCGGCAAGTTGAGTCCAGTCTCCCTAACCCGGCCCAACAGTGCCAGCAGCAGGACCAACAAGAACACGGTAGCTCCCGTCCAGAAAACCTGTTGCGTCCTCATCGTTCTGGGAATCTTGGCGAAAGAACAGCAACGTTAAAACTCGCAGCTACACAGTTCACTTCTCTATCTGCCGACTTCAAGCTTAAGTTTAAAAGCTCTGATGTTGCTCGAGACAGAGCCAAGTATGACAATACCCGACTGCCCGCATGTTACCTTATATACGTATTTCCTACCAACTTGCAGAGATTTGTAAATAAGGGACAGCTCATTACACTTTCGTATAGGGATGTACATGTAGTCTTTTCAATACGAGAAGCGTTCTGTGATATAATCAGGAGCAAACTACTGTGACGCGAAGGACCCAAATTGGACATTAGTAGGTCTTTTGTGTGATTTTAGACAATGACCAAGTCATTGCTCGTCTGATTCCTAAGCTAATATCCCTCTTGAGAAGTCGAGTGGTTCGCCCCAGATTTGGTATGTGGCCCACTATGTCCTTATCAGGGGCGAAAGGGAAATAATTACCTGCTATCGGAGTTTAGCACAATGTCGGCAGTCACGACGGTGTTGGACTTCAGTCAGAGGTACCCCATGTGGTGTGCCCTGGGGGTCAGACAGGTGGGCAGGTCTACCCTGGATACACGACAATGTCCGGACAACATTTCATCATCAGAAATGTCAACGACATGCTTTTATCCGAAGTGAAGCTGATGCAAGCTTCCTTTAGTGTCACAATGACAAGCCGACCTGCTAAAGACTCATTTTTGACAGTTGAAATCACAATCGCTTAAGGGCAAAGAAAAACATGCTGAAAACAACTTGAAGCACATGCTTTAATTTGTTAACATATATCTTTGAAAAATAGCACAGGCTAAGTGTGTATAATACAGAGGAAAAATTAATTCTATTCATAATGTATCGTAGTGGCACTACGTCCGGTTCCATTGTATTCATTAGCATTATGAACACTGTTTGCTATGAGATAAGATATCGAGAAGAATTCTTTCAATTAAGCGTCTGTGCCATGTGCTTGGACTCCGAACTTCAGCTGCAGGAATTTCCAATACGCGAATATATTTCATAATCTCAGTTTGCCATATAAACATGTCATTCACCCTTGAACATGTCGTTGGAAACTGATTTATTTGTTGTCCAGAAAAGTATTAACGAAATAACGATTTCACTGGGTCACATCTCAAGCTCATTCGTACCAGGCATTTCGACAAAACCTATATATGTGTCGACAACCTCGAGCTCTACACAATAATGTTAGACTTCATTTACAGACCAACTTAAAAGTCGCTCAAGTTGATCAATGTGAAAACTGCAGCGGTCATTATTGCGCTAGTTACGTCGCCATGGTAGATAGGTTTACAATCACCAGGACAACGGAACGCTTGGATCTTCAAATGGAAGGGTCCTCTCAGATAAATTCCTTCTTAAAGCCATCGACACACATTGATTGAGTCAAAATTCCTGAGTACATGGCTAGCTTCGCGCGCTTTATTTTTTCAGAGAAAGTCGTGACTAACAAAGAAAACAAAGATGCTCGTTTAGTTTCCTCCTTGATACGCTGACGCCAGACGTCGTGACTTTTTGAGACGCCGTTTTAAGCAATCGTCCCAGAAGTTTGGAAAATGTTCGTGGGGGTAGAAGGTAGCAACCAATTACATGCCAATTTAGCATCCATACGCAAACACTGTGGGTATTGCATTTGGGCACAACAAAGCTCAGCAATGTTTACTCTCACTGCACACTAACACTTACCTTACGTACGCGTGTGCAAACGTTTCCCTACCTGTAGTTATTTCAAGACAGACTTACCTGGAATGGTTGAAACTTGAACGGGAACGTCCAAGAAAAAAGACCAGCACGGCTGGAAATGACTTTTGTTCGGGGTTAATCGACTTTGCTAGCACAGCTTTCCGACGTGGCAAGCGGCGCAAGCTGCGTCAGAGTATCCGGGACTTTAGCAAGAAGTCAAACAAGATGAAAGATTATCCTTTGTCCTTTAAAGAGAGCCAGGGCCACTACAGACAAAGTGTTACCCTGGAACTGCAACAGCTGAATAAAGAGAGAAATGATTCAAACCGCGAAACGGCCACAAAATTAGGAAAGCAATTTTTGACGCTCACTTTGAATTTGTAGTATAATAGTAATGATTCGACTGTCGAATTTCGATATAGAGATCTGCCTCAGAACATTATATTTTAGTAACTCGCAATGTGAAAATAATGTACCCTTCTTGTCGGTATTCATACCGGATTTCAATTGATTTTATGTCGCAGTTGCCACGACAGTGACAGGTTGTAGGTATTTCTTGCACCATAAATTTCCCATTGTGAGAGTTCTACACGTCAAGACTTTCAAAGCATTTTCTACATTTTTGACTCTTTCAAAAACAATTATGCCACGCTTAATGCTTACGTGACCAACGCAAAACCTTGTATTTTTTTACATCTAAAAAGGATGTAATGACTCCGTGTACAGTTAAATAATGGTATTGTGATCCGTCGCCCGTTAAACTTGGCCATCAAGGAAAATGTAAATCAATGTCTAAAGGTCCAGCAAACACACTTCAGACTTAATGCATGTTTTCCACTAGGCGTGGAAAAATACATAGACTAAAACTGAGTCGGGCCTATTGTCGTGTCGATGGGATTGGAGAAACGCATACCGCCTGATACACAATTATGTCCTTTCCAGATGGCAGTGTCAATTCCTCCCAATCCTTGTCCCTATATATCTTAATCTATATATCAGTTATTATAGTCTATATCAAAAGACAAATTTACAAAGCCAGCAGTTGAATCACGAAGAGATTGAAGCTGTTGCGTCATCTTGCATAAGCAGAGAACGTGAACAAACACAAATCGATTGGAATTTAACCTTCAGTAACGGTGCGACAAAGCTGAACGTCAAGGGTATTTCATGTGGACCGCTTGTAAGTTGTAGCTGGGACGTCGACGTTACTGGAGTAACATAGCTACCAATACAGCACTTAGGAGCTTCGAAAGAGGCCACAAAGAACATCGATAAATAGATACATACGACTCTTTCAAAGTAAGTGAAAGGTTCGTAGTGCCGCGGTGTTGTAAAATACTGAGAGGCGCTGGAAAAACGTATCTGGTTTACGGCAAACTAAAGAAAACTACAATCAAACAAAGAAACGCGTAGCTGCTTCAATACAATAGTTTTGAGAGAGTGTAATTTTTCGAAATCAGATTTACAAAAATCCCAAGCACTATCTGAAGAACATTACTTCCGTATCCTTTCGCGTTTGTTTCCGAACAGTGAAAGGACTGCCGCTGGTTTGGAAACTTTATAAAAGGGTTCAAAAAACTATCGAGCGATGATCTTTGCTCCATACACAAAGGCCATGGCTTCCTGTGACGCACGCAAACGTCAAATACTTAGTAGCTACCGTGCTGTGCTTCTCGTTAAGTGCTTTTCGACGTAAAGCACGCTTTTGACATCACGGTCACTGAACAGTATTGCTGAGTGTGAGAACGAGCCGGGCTACAGCAGGGCATTGACCCTTCTGTGTCTGGGTTAGCCAAGGTACCATCCTACTTGTATGCCGGGGCTCCCACAGTCGCTTCCCTAAGAAGTAGCCTGGGTACCCAACACCACGGGAATCCCAGAGTGTTAAATGTTATTGAGGTCCCTGATTTGTCTCTCTGAGTTTTAGATCATCTTAATGAGTTCAGTGTGCAATGTTAAATCATGATAACTACTAGTATACACTATACACCCCCCAGTACAACGTACAATATACATCCGCATTGTATAAATAATGCACTAGCCTGTGATCCTCTTTCACATTTAAGTTACAGTAAAAACACATCACACACACACACAAAAAAAAAAACACATCACACAAAATCCACCAGTCATTTGTGGGAATTTTTCTGTCACAATCGGCTATATAGCATAGTGGCTTTATGCCGTTATGGCATATCAAATTTATTACAATCAATACATTCCTGTAGTATACAAACTATGACATTGTATCACCTTAATCCTTATCAATATCAGCTTTATTAACGTTATACATAAGAGCTGATCACACTCTGTGTGTTGAAGCTTTCATATCTTGCCATTTGTGTATTGAACTCAATATATGCATTTAATATATGGAAGCATAGATACCGTAGACATAGGTTTTCTACCACTGAATTCTATCAGTACTTAAACCTGTGAGTACAACATGAAAGCTACCTGTTAAATCTGACTGGCCATTTTCAGTTTCCAAATGTGCTAATGACAACCGGTTCTCTGAGATGGCTTCTATTGTTTTAAACTCTGTCTAATATATATTGCAACTGGAATGCTAGCAAACATGTGCCTGCTTGCCCATCACCAGAAATGGGCTAATGTTCCTGAGATGTAGCCAATGCTATGACCCTGTACATGTAGGATGCTTGGGGCATTTAACCCTTGAAGTGTCAAGGTTAATCACATTTTTAGCCCTCATTATATTATCTTTTTTTTTAATTATATTATACATTGGCCTAATCAGAAGACAAACCTCTGTGACACTTGGATCTTCAAGAATAAATTTCTAGGTACTGTCATGAAAGTTCATCTGTGTTGGTAGTTACATGTTTAAAGTTTAAAATTTTGATCCAACACGCCACGGTTCAAAGAAGCCACATGACAAGCCTCACTGGGTCAGTCTACTGAGGAAGACCAGAGTGACTGGTCGAAAGCTGTAGGTGAGAGAACTATACAGTGTTGGATCCAAAGTTTTAACTTTAAACAAATTTCCAGGTAACTTCTTAGAACATGAAGTATTTCTGAGCCAGGGGCAGCTTCTTGGCAGGTGGACATGTGAGATGTTCCATCACTTCTTCTCCGTTCTCTTCTCTCTTCACATGGACCTGGTAGGACTGGGGGTCCACTGAACAACACATGGAAGCAAACAGCACAGTTTAACCTTCAGAGTGCTGAGGTAGCAGTTTGGCATCAAATTTGTATTATGCTTATGGGGTTTGGCAGCAGAGAGAAGGTTAATGGTGACACTACAGGCAGACTACACTAGCTTACCTAAACAGATAAGTTCCAAAAGTTAAAATCATTCAATTGAGTGTCACTGAGTAAATACTGGTCAACACACCTGATTCAAAATAATCAAAACAAAGAGGATAAGGGGTAGAACAAAGTAGAAATTATGGTTGAAAATGTTCTACAGTTTTTCTTACCTGTTATGTTTGGAGTGTAGTCATTGAGGACCATGTCTTTTTTGGTCAACCCTCGGCAGCTAAAGAAAAAAAACATTATGGATTGTAACATTTTCTCAACAGAAATATTACATCTCATTATAAATATCTACATCAGGTGAAAATTTGTTTAGCCAAAATTGATCTTTACTATCTTTTATCTGATTTTACTGTTCTATAGTGTAACAGACATGTAGCATCTGATGAACTCACTTTTTGATGGGGACAAGTTTCTTGCTCAACCCATAGGTTTGTGGGATTCCTTTATCGATGGAAGCCTGTAGAAGAAAGGAAACAGTATATTATATATATCTCATACATAGACTTGACACTCTTCTATAATAATTATATCACTATGCTACATTTGTAATAGCTTACAGAGATACACTCAACTGAAATTTGCTGATACATAATGTATGCTACTGAGTATGACACAAGTGATCATAATGATTATTCTCTTACCTTAGAAACAAACATGACAGAGGTGTTGCCGACTGCCTTGCCGTAAGCACCAAACATCTTCCTGGTCTTGACTGGTTCAGGGGTGGGGATAGAGGCATTGGGCATCCCTAGGATGTGATTATCATAGAGTATTACATATATGACCACAGCATTGTCATCAAAAAGTAAGAAACAAATGGGTAAATTTATTTCTGCACTCTCCATCCATGAAGGTTTCGTCATCCAGGTAATGAGATACACAAGGAAATTGTTACTCAGGCAACTGGATAGATTTTGAAAACTGTCAGACATTTCAGGTAGCATCCATTACTCTTTGTCAGTGACTAATAGAATCTGTAGATATCCAGGTTATTTGGATAATTAATGTTACCTGTTCAACTACAGATTCTGTTTCACACTTTTCTTCATATTTCTGCACTCTTTACATTTCTGTGACAACAGTAGGATATACATTGTATAAAGGTCCTCACCCATCTGAGCCCATACAATATGTCCACCCTTGATGATGATTTCTGGTTTGGCACCAAAGAAAGCTGGCTTCCACAGAACCAAGTCAGCCAACTTGTCTTTCTGTATTGAACAAAGAGAAAGCATAATTTCTGCTAGGTTGCATTGCTATCAATTGCATAGCAATACATCATAACACAAGTTACTAGCATTATGAAAAGACTTTAAAGTTAAGTTTGCAGTATTAAACCATGTCATAGCAAATACACAAAATATTTCATATCCAGCAGTTGACTCAATACAGCATTCTGAAGCTAGAGTTAGATGCATTAGTCAACTTGACCAATATTTTAACACACATTTTTCTATATTTCATACTACAATGATGCAAGAAGCTTGAGACATAAAAAATGAAACTATTTCCCAAAGACTCACCTCTACAGACCCAATAAGATGTCCCATGCCGTTACTGATTGCTGGGTTGATGGTGTACTTGGCCACGTATCTCTTGACGCGGAGGTTGTCGTTGTCCCCCGGTCTCCCCGGCCAGCACGCCTCGCTGCTGCTTCATCTTGTCTGCTGTCTGCCATGTCCTTGTGATGACCTCACCCACTCTCCCCATGGCCTGGGACATCCAACATTACAAGATCTTATTGTTCTTCTTCTATCCGATTAAACATCATTTTCCCCTGAAACAGGGGTTAGACGTGCTTGCATCAAATGCAAGTCTTTTTTTTGGAGATTTTTAACGGCTGGATGACCTTCCTAACACCAACCCAAACCCTAATAGGGCCCAGGATCCCTCTAACTTGTTTTTATGTTTTGTAAATGTGTCATGTGTGTCTAGAAGGACCACAGGAAGAATAGCTACATTTGTTGTAAGCTAAGTGTGGATCCTAATAAAGTCAAAGTCAAAGTCTAACTGAGGGGGGAAATATCTGTAAAGTGCCTTTCCCAAGGGCACAAAGTCTGGGTCCAACCCTGGGGATTGAACCTGGGTCTGCTTGCTTGACAGTCGGATGCTCTATCCACTATTCCACACAGACGCCACACAATTATAAGATCTTATTGTAAGAAACAAGACTAGTGCTCATCCTTGCCTGGAGATGGGGGAGTTGAATTCAAACATTGCAAGCAATTGCAGCAACTCTCCATTCAGTGGGTAAATGGTATCAAGGAGGTTTAAAAAGGACCCAAACAATCTTGAATGTCAATCATCTTCCTGATTATTGCAGGGAGTGTCAATCGATTATTTCATGCATGAACATGTACTGTCAGTGTCATTGTCAGATTTTGTGTTGATAGATAAAGATTGGAAACTTTTTCTGGGGCCTACCTGTGAGTCTGATGCGATGATACTGATGGCTCCCATGTCATGGAGGATATCCTCAGCAGCAATGGTCTCTGCCCTGATTCGTGACTCAGCAAAAGCAACATCTTCTTTGAGGTTCCTGGATGAAAGGGGCAGTGACATCGTTTAAAGATGAATTGGATCTATACTGAACTCCAATAGGCAAACCTCTGCAAGCTATCACAGCATAGTTTCATGTACTGGTATATCGTTATACCTGTATCTATGTACATGTATGCTTGATATCTGCAGTTTGGAAATATACTCCTAGTGGAACTCTTATTTCTTGATAATGGTTAAATAGGTGTTAACAGAATTTCTGGATTCAGACATTCCAGAGTTTATATAAAAAGAGGATAATAATCCCTCAAACTGAGTTATCCCATTCAAAACCTATTGGGCAAACATAATGACTGGATATTTATGGATACATCAATCCTTTACCTCCACAAAAATTTCCAAGAAAAGAAACAACAAAGACAAGAAGACTTGTCGTACTTGTCCAGATGGTGACAGACCATGAGCATGTCCAGGTGTTCGTCGATGGTGTTGACAGTGTACGGGCGGGTGGGGTTGGTGGACGAGGGAAGGACGTTGGACACTCCACACACCTTGATGATGTCAGGGGCGTGGCCACCCCCAGCACCCTCTGAGTGGTAGGTGTGGATGGTTCGACCCTAGGTGGAACAGGTATATGATTTCTGCCACATGGCACATTTTTTCAGGGCCATAACAAGGCACTGAAGATTTCTTAAAATACCAAATCTTGTTATTTATTTACAAATATGAGAGTGGTATAGACATGTCCCTAATGTCTGTCAAAGTATAAGTCCCCATACACAGCAATAATTAATTACCATTGCCATTGACATTGTTAACCACCAGTATTCTGTATTAAATTTACCATTAAACAACCATATTCAAGTTAAATCTAAAGCTCTTAAAATGTCCTTCTTGGCTTAAAAGTCAAGTTTTAATTTTGAATAAGAGCTTTACCTTGAAAGCTTCTATTGTCTGTTCCACACATGATGATTCATTCAGGGTGTCTGTGTGGATCATCACCTAATGTTAAAAATATGATATACATACACTGAAGTAAATTGAGTTAGGAAATACAAATTCATCTAAAATCGAATCACAATGCAACAATATATTTGGCAAGCTTTGTTACACATTAATGTTAAAACAATTTTTTTTGGACATTCAAATAACTAACAACTGTATTGATGTAAAAGCTATTGATATTAAAAGTTATTTAATACAAAAGCTGTGTAGTTGAATGGGCAGGACAATGATATATAAAGTTGCATCAAAGATTTGGGTTATGTCAACTTACTTGTACGTCATGTTTCTCTGCTACACGCAAACAGGTGTCAATGGCTGCAGGGGTGGAACCCCAGTCCTCATGAAGCTTCATCCTAAAAATAAAAAAAATAAAAAAATAAATATATAAAGAATAAAAATATAAAAACAAATTTATACTTCAACACAATATTGTGCAATGAACTATACCCTTTTGAAGAATATGCATTCTCATGTGGCTGCTCATTTAATTTGAGTTGTAATCTGATATCCCTTCCCATCATGCTTTGCTACCTCATTAGCTATGCAGAGCCAACAATACCAATATTTATTGTATTTCCCATTACTTAAGAAAAATGTCAAATTGCTGTGACTGTAGTTAAGACATTAACGAATGAAGTGCCATCATAAAGGCAGAAATATCAGTTTCTCATGCCTCAATACATTTTACTACATATACAAAACCACAAACAAAACTGACTCAGATTGTGCGCCATATATATCAGAATAAATATCACCCCACAGACATGGTTTGCCAGGAATGCTCGCTTTAGGGGTTACCTACAGGTACTTAATTACCTCCTTGCCCCTGGGAAGGTCTGAGACAAGGCTACTGAAGGCTCTAGCAGGGCCCTGGTCTAATGTGTGCAGGTGGGACACCAGAGAAAGGCTTGGCAGTGTGCAAAGATGGCACAAGAGGCCCTTGACCATTTGGGGAGGGCTGATGCCTGCACTCGTGTCATAGTTGGAAAAGACCCATAGCCAGCAACTTTGAGTGCAATTCGCGAGGCAGCATACTGTGCTGTAACTCAATTCAGACTACTCTCCTGACAAACCTTTTTTCTTTGAAACACTTCACAACTTTTTTTTCTTCTTAACACTTCCCAACTAGTAAACTACCACTTCAAAAGGACAACATGCCTACCCAATTGCACCAGCCTCTATTTGTTCTTCCAGTTCCTTGGATATTCCATCTAGCTGGGAGGTATTGCCTTTTCCTATTCAAAATCAACACATCTGTATCAGTATGCAAAGTGTATGTGAGACACCTATCAGTTTGTTAAGGAACTGCAGCATGTACTGTATTACATTATAAAGTATCAAACTCAGCAGTGACAAAGACTAAATTACCATTCCTCTATTACAATCATGATAGGAATATTTCTTGTCTTATGAAAAAAATTCTATACCTCTGTATTACACACTTACCTGTAAATCCAAAGTTGAGTGGGAAGGCATCAGTACTCTGCATCATTGCTCTGTAAAGCAGAAATTAAGTAAAGTTGAATAACAACTAAAAGATGTCAATCAACCTTACTTTCTATATACAGGTATATTGTATTATATCATAATATCAGAAAGAATTATCTTTACACTGAGCATCTTTACTCCAGGTGAAAGATACTATGACTTTCTTATGGTGTCATTTAGTTTGATCTTCCTTTTTAGAAGTTAGTGAAGTTAGTAAGTTAGTGCTCTCCTTGTACAGATCAAAAACAAGGTCATCCACCAGGAGGCCCATACTTGACCTTGACCTTTGTCTTTCCAAGACCTACCATCATACCAAATATCATCACAATCCATAAAGGCGTTCCGAAGTTATGCTGACTACAAAGTTGCGGAAACACAGATAGACAGACAGACAGACAGACACGCCAAAAACAATACCTCCATTTTTCATGGAGGTAATAACTCTGTAAACAGTAGCATACTTGATATGGTTCGGCCCGGGAGTACATGTTGTGGCATTGCTGCCAGTAGCAGGCCCGGTTCCACCCCCAAACATGGTGGTCACTCCCGAGGCCACTGCCTCTCTGGCCAGCTGCGGACAGATGAAGTGGACGTGTGCGTCCAGAGCTCCAGCGGTCAGGATCAGTCCCTCACCCGCAATAGCCTCGGTGGTCGCACCACATACCAGATTCTGTGCAACAAGATGTAACCTGTCATCCATTCATCAAAACTGGCAATGTATATCTTATGCCTAAAATGTCAGACCATCAGTGTATGGGCTGCAAGGTCCACAGTAAATTAGCCATGTTACATGTATCAAACTGTAGTGTAGTGCAGTGTATATTAAACTGGACTCTGGATGCAAAAAGGAGGATTGGTCGTCTACCCACAATTCTCAAAACACTTATAGAATCTGAAACTGGTCTTCAAGGACCTGCAATGACATGCAATGACTGACAAACAGTACCGAAAACAGAACTTCTCCTGCTACACCTCGTGACAAGGATGACCAAAGAAGAAGACAGAGTAGTGCATTGAATTGATAAATTGATGTAATCTATTGGGATAAATTGTTGTTGGACATTAGCTAGGATGACATTCATAACATTGTTTGAAAAGTTATGAATAGAAAAGTTAGACTCACCGGGCTCACGTTTGCCATGACATCTGGGTTCCCTGCTTTGCCAATGCCAATGATCATGCCGTCCTAAACAGGAAAAAATTTACACATGTTAATGATAATTGTTGATAGATCATTCCTGGCTTGCTAGAAAGCAAAAAATTGGTAAACCATGGTACACTCTAGTTGTACTTACACTATTTACAACACTGCTAGATCAAGTATCCTGAACAGTATGGTTATAACACGTACCTTTATGCCCACATCAGCCTTGATGATCCCCGTCACAGCATCTACAATCAGGGCATTAGTGATGACAGTGTCCAGGGCATCCACTGCACTGACCCCGGCTTTCTGTCCCATGCCTTCTCTAAGGACCTGGAATAAGTAACACCTCAACAGTCACATATGTGTGTATGTACATGTATATATATATATATATATAATGTATGAGACATATACTAGTAGAATTGCTAGGTATTGTCAATAAAATCTATCTTGTTTGGGTGAAACGAAATAAATTGTCTTGTGAACATGAAATGATCTTATTACAGATCACAAACTATGGCTAAAATTTTATTTCTTTTTTGTTTGTGTATGAGAATACCTTTCAGTTATAGCAGCAATAAAAAAATCTGACGTACCTTTCCACCTCCAAACTTGCACTCGTCCCCGTACACAGTGAAGTCCTTCTCTACCTCTATGATCAGAGATGTGTCCCCCAGCCGAACACAGTCCCCTGTTGTAGGGCCGTACGTGTGTGCATAGACGTGACGTGACATCACACACAGGTTTGTCTTAGGCCTCTTTAGGAGACTTTCTTTCTGAGTCTTGAGATGAAACAAAAATTAAAATTAAAAAAAAATTAAGGTTTTCAATGCATAGCATTGAACATAATTTGATACCATGTTTCTAATGAAATCCTTGTATACTACTATGCATTAGATTGTATAATGTATTCTTGATTTATTTATATTCTTAATGTATAGGTAGTTTCAATATTTTCGAAGGTATGGATGGAAAAGTTAAACAATTTTACCTTGTGTGCAAAACCTCTACTCTTGATGTTCTCCAAAATAGTGGCCAACTTGGACTCATCAAACTTGCCATCACTGAGGAAGTTTCCACCATGGATAACACTGAAGAAAGTAATACAAAATTTTGTACTTCAGTATCAATACAAAGTTTTCAGTATTTAGTCAATCTTATTTACGCTACTCATTTATGCTAATTTTACAATGGCTTCTCTTATAGGTTTCATATATGTGTAGCAAAATTGAATCAAGAAATTCAATACTATACCAGCTATGGGATCTCACAAGACCTGATCCTTCTGCTGATATAGTGTACAACTTTCTTCCAATATCTGGTTGTCATGGTTTCTTACCTGTTCCCTGCGATCTCCACCAGCTGGACCTCTCTGGTCTCACCCGGTTCAAACCGGACTGCAGTGCCTGCTGGGATATTCTGTGGAGGGAAGACAATGTGTGAGTATTACTCATGTAAGTTTGTATTCGTTAGTTTGTATGACAAAATGAATGTTAGCATATGGTCAGTGTCCATATTCATTTGGGTCATTTTAGCTGTTGCAAAAGATAAGAACCCTATATAATACTACTGCACATATTAAACAAGGTGCTGTACGGCAATTTGTAATCGACTTGTACTTACCAGTCTCTTGCCATAAGCCAGAGCTCTGTCAAACTGTAGGTACTTGTTGACCTCCAGGAAATGGTAATGGCTGCCAACCTGTTTAACATAAACCACATTGTTTTAGTTGAAAGATCTCATTTTTTTTCTCCTTCCCATTCTCTCTCTACCTGTTAGTAAGTATCTATTTATCCATCTGTTTAAAGAAATTAAGGAAATCTGTCATTAAATCTATGCATCCTTAATATGAGGTCAAGTTCTTTGGTAGCTCAAGTTCTTTAGGCAAAAAGTATGAAATTTACAGGATATGACACTAATACTACATTATACATAGGGAAGTACACAGCAACTGTTATAGATGCACTGGATTTTAAGTCACTTAGCTCTTTCTACAAGTATATTTCCTGTACAGGTTCTATTGGACTCAACTAGTCTGAAACATACCTGAATGGGCCTGTCACAGAGACTGGTGACCGTGACATTAGCAGTTTTACGACCCACGTTCATTTCAATGTCACCGGGCTCGGTGTAAACCTGACCTGGGATCTCATGAAGTTCGGCCCCCTAGAGTAACACAAACATGGAAGACCAGTTTTAAATTCATTAAGTACATGTATGTGTAATCTTTGGATACAGTGCACAAACAATGGACACCTCTGGCAGAGAATATACAGTGATAAACAATGACACACTTAACAACTTTACAATCAAATAGATGTACGTGTAGTAATACCTCACAGACATACTTCATTTCCAATCAGTAAAATCACATATTGGTGCTTTGAAGTACATATATGTGGTAAAATTGTAAAATTTTAAAATATAAAAGTCAGCATTTTAGGGTATAACGTTACATATACTTCAATGGTTAACAAAAGAGAAGTCTGTTTTCATGTGATGTTTGTGAATGTGGAGTTGGTTACTTACAGCGTTGAAGACGTTCACATCTGGAATGGGAAGAAAGCTTCCATACAGAGCTAGCTCCAGGTTACCATTATCTAACACAATAGGCTGGTGCACTGTCACCTGTTGGAAAGAGAGGGTGGTGTCAACAATACATAACTATAGACACAGACTCTGCTACAGATATTAGATGTAATATCTAACGTATTCAGATAAGGGTCTTTCTTAAAATTGAATCAATGTTTATCAGGCCAAGGCCTGCTTTTTACAAGCACAAAAATGATCAAATCTATTCATCTTTTCTTTTCAGTTATCCTGTCTCATATACCAAAAGAAAAAAGAAACACTCATTGGTTTAACACTAAGTCTTCTCTTTATAAGTGTATCTTCTCTTTACAAATGTATAAGCTCATTGAACAAAACATAGCTAGTACCATTGAACATTTGAGTACATGTATTTGTAAATCTCAAAGATGTATGACTGCGTGATAACCAAAATGTTTATCTATACATGGACCAGTTCGACAGCTTGCTACTAGTGATGCATACCGGTTCACTGGACTTGGATCCGGACTTGTAAGAATGTTTAGGTTCAAGTCCAAAAAAACCTAAAAGTCAAGAACCGAGTCCGGACTTATTACCATAAAAGACCATTTCACATACCCCTTTTCTTTTTAAACCACATAAACTAGGGCTGCGGACCGGTACACTGTACCGGTCCAATACCGTAAAAATCGTTTCGGTACAGGTCCAAAATACCGGATCATGAAGTAACGAGTATATACCGAAATAGCTAGTTTACAACTTTACACCATGTATATGACTAAAGATAGGTAAATCCTACCACAAAGACGAAAAATTAGCACTGGAAAAGACGTAAACACCGTCGATTGATTTGAGATCCTCAGTCTCACGAGACATCGCGAGAGTGTGGCTGATCCAGGGTTGTGATTGGAAGATACTGACAAGTTGTCAACACTTTATTATTGTTTGTGTCATGATTGAAAAAGTGAAGAACACGTGTTAATTTGTCAAATTGTTCAGGTACAGGTACAGGTCCGGACCTGTACCTAAACCTCTGTACCGGTACCTGTACCTGTACCTGATGTTGCGTTTAGGTACGCAGCCCTAACATAAACCCTCCGTAGATTCCAAAATCTTTGCTGCAAAATGAAGAAAACATTGCCATCGGGCATCGTCAAGTACCGGCCTCCATGTTATGTGGCCAAAGTTTCATCCACACAACATTGCAAGGTTGCCAACATGCAATTTTGTATATGCCATGGGTGTAAGTCCGGACCTGAACCTAAACCTCTGGACTTGAATCCGGACCTGAACCTAAAATTGGGTTTAGGTATGCATCACTACTTGCTACCATAATTGACACTTTCAGATGATTTAACATTTAAGACAAAGTTGCCTACCAGTTTGGTGCCATCCTTAAAGGTGCCCTCTACCTGTACCTCTGAGATCATGTCTTCAACGCCTGGCTGCACCTGATTTGTACCTGTAGAATGTACAATCATGCAACTTACATATATAACAGACAGGACACAACTCCATTGCCTGACTTAAATGTAATTCATCTGATTGTGCACAAAGTTGTGCTGCATACATAATCTGCAGAAAAAGACAAACTAGAAATCTTCATTACAAATTTCAGAATAGGAAAGAGAAGAAAAGAAGAAAACTTAGGTCTATTTACCCAACATTTGTCGCCCCATCTGCATAAGCTCACATACAGGGTGGGTGCCATCTCTGATCAGTTCCTGGATCTGTGAAAATTAAAACGGTTCCTTTATCACCTTTGATGTAATATAATCCACATGCATACATGTGTTCTATGCTTTAATTATATCCTAGAAATTAATATTCTCCTGGCAAATTATCTGTCTACAGTCATACTTGGCCAATTTGACAAATTTCTACTCTTTCCAGCTAGCCTGGTTACCAGACCTATTATAGCTCCCGAGTCCTAGTTGCGGAGAGGATGTACAATGTGTAGGACTTCAGAGCTATAGGTCTGGTAACCAGGCTACTTTCCGGCCGCTTCCCAAAGCCTGGTAGAGGCTACTAGTACCTCCCTGCAGCTATTTAGGTTTGTAAACAGGTTACTAGTAGTCTACAGTGACCACACCACACTTTTTGGTCCCCTGAGTGGAGCTGCTCATGAGTGGCCCTGTGGTGACCCTACAAGGTGATACAGTGTGATTGATGTCATGTTTGCACAAGCCCACTGGGCCAACCTCCCCTGTCAACACTTATGTAAACATCATAGGCCATTACAAAAAACATTATTGCATTGAAGATCACTGTACAAGGCATAGATAGATCTAACATGTTATTGCCTAGAACAAGAAAAAAAAAGGAGAACTAAAAAAGCAAGGACTCAAAGGAGGTTGCAGATACTACAACATCCTTGTAGAAAGGTAACATTTCCAAATCAAATCTTCTCCTTCACAACAATTTCATCATCATAGTTCTCCCGTCGACACAACAATCTACTGCTGTGTAATACATCCTGCTACTGACATCATGTACTGTAATCCTAATCTCTAAGCAGATCCTAGGGTGGCAAAAAGACAGTATCAAATTGGCCAGGCAGTATTCATTGGCCAGAGAGGGTCCCCCAAAAAAAGGGCAATATGTAAAAAGGTAACGATCTTCACCCATTAACTTCTGCTTGGAGAGTAATATAATCCAACACCTTTGGGTATCTGCTACAGCCTTCAAACAATAAACCCTGAACCAAAAAGATCAAAGACCTGAAACAGATGGCTAGTAACTCAATGTAAGTACTTAACTGCGACAAACGCCTCTAATGCCACCACTGCCGCTCAAGTCTGCAAAGGAGGTTACTAGCAAAGAAGTAACCCAAGACTAGGGCAAGAGAACCATTGCAAAGTCTCCCCCCAGCAAGGCTGATCGATGGGGCCCCACGCCCCTTTAGATTAGCCTGGTTACCATACCGCCCCTTCAGAAGAACTTTATTGCACGGCAATTGCACATGGTACAATGTATGACAAACTACATAAAGATAGTAACAGACAATAAAATGTGTTGAACAAGACCTAAAGTCGAATAAAACCTAACAAATCTATATTACCATACCTATGGGGATCGGTTCCCTGGCCAGAGGCTGTTTGCCCCCCCTCCCCCCCCC